GTGTAAAACAGACTATTATGAACAATATGCTATAATCATACACTGATAAAATGTATTGCAGCATGAAAAAAAAGTTGTATTGCGAAAAGCTTATAAATTATAGTATTTGTATTATAAAAATTTTACCCCTCTTTCTATTAGTTATTTGGTTTAATCCAGCGTGACCTTGGCCTTTGACCTACATTTACTATATGTTGATTAAACTTAGATAAACATTTCGAATTTTGCTGTTTACACACGCAGGAGTGAAAACAATACTCCCCGTCCTAAGCAGGATTAAAATTATCATATGCTAAATAATGATACAGTCCGAAAAATTATATATATATATATATATATACACGCGCAATAAAATTATGAAGAATAACTCAAATTTATTTTCACACAATAAAATAGTAATTAGATATAAACAACCAAGATGAGAATACTGTAACTGTTCAAATAAGGCTCTAGTTACCAACGTTCTTGATAAAAGGAAATACATCTCTGAATGTCCACAGAATTCTTCCCATTAACTGCCGGAGCGTAGAAATGTTTACTTGGTTGTAAAACGTGGAAACACTCTTAACTGTCACTGCGTCTCGATGACACGTGTTTCTACGACAACGAACTTTCTCGTAACATCCATTAACAATATTTAAACTCAATAGTAGTTGTTAGTTTTCTTTTAATTAATGGATTCTATTCTTAGCCCAACGGTTAAACTGATCTTCTAAATCACTTTCACTTCTATTAGTACAGCAATTATAAGAAATAAGATATAGAGAGCGAGAAGAAAAACTCCATACAAACGTTTTACTTTAAACTTTGAAACTACCATTACCACCAAGGTAGAAAGAACACTGACAACAAGAGTACCGTACAGAAGCCGAATGTGCTGGGTGAGCTGAAGCTAAGAGAGAAAAAAAGATGAAAGAATGATTTAATTATTATTCATGGTGTATTTAAACAGTTTAGCTACTTATTAATAAGGTTTGATAGTATGGGATTTTGTTACTAATCTGAACAAGGTAATGTAACACAAAGGTCAACGTTATTTGGACAAATCTAGAAATATTAACTTTCTTTTAGTGAATGTTGCTTGACTTATTATATATTCATAATTAATCACTCTCAATAAAAATATGGTTGATTAGTGTACTGAACGTTGAAATGTTGTTTAGTGGTTTTAAACTTTGGTGTTCCAGTTACAAAAATAATAATACTTAAAATCCGACAATTTCTCGTACAGAGGTTAAGTACATTATATTAAAACAATTCTGGAGTTTTCGCCACGACGTTCCAGTCCATATTGCCATGTCCGGTCATACTCTGTTGACGACTGGGTATCCTGACAATAGCGCTGCAGCGTAGTTTCTATTACAAAAGGATCTACAGTCATGTCCAAAGCACACCACTCCTTCCATATTACGTTCCTGAACCCATCTAGTCTACGAGGACGACTGTTTCAAAAGTACCGCTGCACGTAAATCCATAGTCACTGTGCCCGCTGACTTGGTCGGTATATGTTCACTTGTAATTGCATGAACACCTATTTCATTCTCAGCTGCATGATGTACGCAGCAGTTGAATGTATATGCGTGGAAGCGACTTGTGTTCACGTGGTTTGTATTCGCTTTTCCAAACGGAGATCCTTCTTAATTATGTTATACTGTTACCTGGGGCATGTGAACGGCTTTTGCCACCGACCTTTGTGCTCGAGGATTCTCACATGTTACAAAACGCTACACTTTGTTTATCACGGCTGGAATTCAACTTGTTTCAAGTCTCTTTTCGAATAGTCCTGGATCCCCAAGTTGATCCATATTCCTTTATTTTCAAATATTTCCAGTCTTGAAAATCTTAAATTTTCTAAATTCCTTTATTTTCAAATAAGAAATAATATTTCTGGCCATACTAGTGTAGATTAATGTATTCTATGTACTTACGAAAGAATATTTCTGGCCATACTAGTGTAGATTAATGTACTTTATGTACTTACGAAATAATATTTCTGGCCATACTAGTGTAGATTTATGTACTTTATGTACTTACGAGAGAATAGTTCTGGCCATACTAGTGTAGATTAATGTATTCTGTGTACTTAAGAAATAATATTTCTAGCCACACTAGTGTAGATTAATGTATTCTATGTATTTACGATAGAATATTTCTGGCCATACTAGTGTAGATTAATGTATTCTGTGTACTTAAGAAAGAATATTTCTTGCTACATTTATATAGATTAATGTACGTTTATGTATTTACGGAAAAATATTTCTGGTTACTACGTATATATATATATATATATATTAATGTCTTTAATAATTTTTGATTAAACTGTATAGATTAAGGCATATTTTTTGAGCAAGTCTTTAACGTTTGACAGACCTTGTTCTCGGCTTCGGTCTCTCGTATCTTATCAGCCTCTCACGAGGAAATACTGTCCGTATGAAGGTGAGGTTTGTTGGAAAGTATGTTCATTGTGTTGAATATCACTTGTTCGCTTCTTACTTTTGTTTGACACTTTCATACAAGGCAGGTTGGCTGTATGTATCAGTTAGTACAGAGTAGTAATCTTGTCGTTGTGCAAATACATTATTACTTCTGACATTGGTTTTACCGAGGTTTGAGTACGTTATGTTAAGACGGTTTTGATATCCAAATTAGCAATCCACGTAACAACCTCAGACGAGATGATATTACGATGGAACAGAATGTATCAGAACTACATTTCAGATTGTTTGGCTCTTCGTAGGTAGTATGATGTTACAGAAAACTGATCGCTTTTGGGAAGGATATGTAACAGCTTTCTCCAACGCAAAATATTCATACACTCAGATCACAAAGTTGTGTTAAAATCGGAAATTTAGAATTTTCAAGACAAGTACACAGAATACATTAATCTACACTAGTATGGCCAGAACTATTCTTTCGTAAGTACATAAAGTACATTAATCTACACTAGTATGGCCAGAAATATTCTTTCGTAAGTACATAAAGTACATTAATCTACACTAGTATGGCCAGAACTATTCTTTCGTAAGTACATAAAGTACATTAATCTACACTAGTATGGCCAGAAATATTCTTTCGTAACTAAATATGTGGCTCTGTAACAAAGGATACTGAGAAGAGGACCACCGAAGCAAGCAGATATTCCCATTCTTGGAAACCCTTGTTTTGCGACGGACATATTGGATATAAAGTCTGAAACGGTGAATAAACAATAATAAGGTCGTTTTTAGATGAACTAACAGAATGTAGTATATAAACATGGAATTGTATTTAGAAAAATAAAAAAAAGCCTTCAATTATTTCAATTTTCATTGTAGACAGCTCTAACTATTAGCTTGAAATTATTAAAACTGCAGTGAGTAACTTTAGTGACATCTCGTTTCATAAAATAACCTTGGCAACTTCATATCATAGGCTAGCTTTAGTGACCTAATCTAATCCAATAACTTTGATACTGCTTGGTAACGTTACCTCCTAGACTGTTACTTCAGGTTAAAACTGTTAATCCTAGGAAAACGTTACACTGCAGTAACTATAGAAATAAAATAAGTTACCTCCTAGACTGTTACCCCCAGACTAAGGCCGTTAACCCTAGAAAACTGTTACACAATAAAAACAAGAGAACTTACCTCCTAGACTGTTACCCCCAGACTAAGGCCGTTAACCCTAGAAAACTGTTACACAATAAAACAAGAGAACTTACCTCCTAGGCTGTTACCCCAGACTAAGGCCGTTAACCCAAGAGAACTGTTACACAATAAAAACAAGAGAACTTACCTCCTAGGCTGTTACCCCAGACTAAGGCCGTTAACCCTAGAAAACTGTTACACAATAAAAACAAGAGAACTTACCTCCTAGACTGTTGCCCCCAGACTAAGGCCGTTAACCCTAGAAAACTGTTACACAATAAAAACAAGAGAACTTACCTCCTAGACTGTTACCCCAGACTAAGGCCGTTAACCCAAGAGAACTGTTACACAATAAAAACAAGAGAACTTACCTCCTAGGCTGTTACCCCAAGCTAAGACTGTTAATCCCAATATCGCATCACTTAGATTCATCACTAGTCCAATAGCCTGCATGAAATTATATAATCATAGCATTAAGAAACAAACAAATATTCAGTAACTTTACATTAAATAGTCATTTTTTCTAACAATTTCTGTCGCTTTATATCGCATTATTAAACACATCCCACTATTATATTCCCGTGTTTGCATGTCAGATGATTATGGCAAGCCATCGAGGCCATATTATGATCTTCTTATTATGGAAAAAATGATCGCATATCGGACGATTAAGCAGGCCATAATGTATTGGTTTAACACGTTGCCAAATAAGCGTGTGTTGGATTAACGCGGTGTGGTCCTATAGATCGGGATCTAACAGATGCAGAACGTATTGATAACATATGATGAGTTTTTTTTTTAGTCTGTCCAATATTCAACGATTGAAGTTTATAGTCCCTTATTCTTATATTCTTTAAATCTTCATAACTGAAAATGTAGTTGAAGTACATTCATCTTCTGGTAACAGTTGGTTTTATTAGCTTAATTGCAAGATTCTGACATTGTCAGTTGGAACTCTTCCCGGAAATGGGGGATGAAGCGGATGAAATTGGAGGTAGAACATTACATTCATTTAGAAAGTGGGTGGTAATACTATTGGTTTGTATGTTTTAGCGTTACAGTGTTCTTTTATTTGACTACAGAGTTTCCTAGTGGTTGATCCAATACATCCCAAGCTGCATCTCAAGCGCGTTATCAAAAGAACAGACCAGAATACAACCAATGAACAGGTGGTGGATTAAAACACCTAACACATCTCGTTCCATGCAAAGTATTCCGGGCACAAGCTCATTCATCCTCAACAGATCCCCTTCTGAAAGGCAACAAAATGATCCCGCTTAAATAGTTCATCTTCTTAAAGCATCTTAGAAACATGCATCTACAGGGTATTCAGATTGGATTTTAGTTCATCCTCTACAGGATGTTATATTAACACACTTATCTCCAGTAACTAGTTCATCCTCTGCAGGGTATTCAGACTGGATTCTAGTTCATCCTCTACAGGCTGTTCTATTAACACACTCATCTCCACTAACTAGTTCATCCTCTACAGAGTGCTCTATAAACACACTCATCTCCAACAGATAGTTCATCCTCTACAGGGTGCTCTATAAACACACTCATCTCCAACAGATAGTTCATCCTCTACAGGGTGTTCTATTAACACACTCATCTCCAACAAATAGTTCATCCTCTACAGGATGTTCTATTAACACACTTATCTCCAACAGCTAGTTCATCCTCTACAGGGCTGTTGGAGATAAGTGTGTTAATAGAACAATAGTTCATCCTCTACAGGGTGTTCTATTAACACACTTATCTCCAAAAAACAGTTCATCCTCTACAGGGTGTTCTATTAACACACTCATCTCCAACAGATAGTTCATCCTCTACAGGGTGTTCTATTAACACACTTATCTCCAACAGCTAGTTCATCCTCTACAGGATGTTCTATTAACACACTTATCTCCAATAACTAGTTCATCCTCTACAGGGTGTTCTATTAACACACTCATCTCCAGTAACTAGTTCATCCTCTACAGAGTGTTCTATTAACACACTCATCTCCAATAACTAGTTCATCCTCTACAGGATGTTCTGTTAACACACTTATCTCCAACAGCTAGTTCATCCTCTACAGGATGTTCTATTAACACACTTATCTTCTACAGCTTATTCATCCTCTACAGGGTGTTCTATTAACACAATTATCTCCAACAGCTAGTTCATCTTCTACAGGGTGTTCTATTAACACATATATCTCCAATAGTTAGCTCATCTTCTACACTGTATTCTCGTAATACACGTATATCTAATAGCTAGTTATTACTGTAGGTTTTCTCCTTGTTTTATTAAAGGGTTTTTCTTATGTTTGGTATCTAGCTTTGGTTTTGTATACACGCACGCACGCACACACTTACACACATGTGTGTGTGTGTGTGTTATATATATATATACTCTTTCGTATATTATCACCAACAAACAAAAGTTTCAAATACAAGACTTGACGTTTGTCAATCTCCTCACGTCAAGCATATTTCACTGGTCATCTTGCACTCTATCTAGCCTCGCCTCCCACATACTTTTCCACACTAACTGGTCCAATGTTTCAAATCGTAATAATTATTTTAGAATTTCTGATGATATCATAGTTTCTATTAAGCCATACCGCCCTGTAGATCGGTATTCAAAAGGGACATAACATATTGTTACGACAGCGGAAGTGGCATGTGATGAATTTCTCGAATGATCAGGGAGGCCCGAGTTTGTTCGAGTCATCTTTTTCTTTTGTTTATAAGCTGAGAAAAGCCTGCGGGATTGAATGAAGAGAGTTCCGGGTAATTACGATTCTGTTTCGAGCTAGTGTGTGTTTTGTTATCGAGATTATGAATCGCTGTAATTTATAACGTGTATTATAAAAGTAGTTAAGTTTAAAGTGACGAGAAACGTATTGATTGTGAAATTACTGTGTACTAAAGTTTGTATCGTGGAAGAATAAACTGGTTTAACTAAGAAACGACTTGTATCGCTGAAGTTTCTTGGAAAGAATTTATATCGGAAATTAACAAACAAGCAGATACGCAATATTGACGCAACACGTAATCGAGTGTAGTTTTATATTAAATTATTACGTACAGATTTTTAAGACTTTAATAAAAGCACCGGTTCTTTTGAAGTACTAGCTGTTTAGACAATGACTTACTTCTAGCAAGAAGACAACTTCTGAGGCAATTTTGTAAATCCACATTATTGAAATAACGAACCCGAGATAACCAAAAGCTGAGTGATATTTGGGAGGTTCGTCATGACTAGAAGTTAAAAACACCACAACAGCTAGCACACACGAAACTACCAAAACTAAGGCCCATACGGGAAAAACGCCCCCTATTGTGCTTGTTGCATCTGTAAAAAAGAAATAAAATTAGAATCCGTTAATTCTTCTGAATGATAAGTAAAATTTAACTCAAGTAAAATAAATAAATAAACAAGAATAATAATAAGCAATTTGATTTTAAGAATAAATAAATAACTTTATGTTAACGAAAATAATAAATCTAATTCTGACTTGTAATGATTTAAGTAAATTTAATAAATATTACACTTCAATGACGTATTCTAGTTTACACCGAAACATTTGTTATTGAAGCAATTTGATGATATAAGGGCATTTCGACCACTATAGCATCTGTTGTATCTCAGCAGGCTTGATAACCCCTTGTATTGAGCGAAAGGTCTCGTTGGAACTGGCTATAGCAGATATAGTGTGATTGACATATTGTCACATTTTTCTTTACTTTCACTCATAAATTCTTAAAATTACCTGGCAAGAAGCCAAAGATTATAATTTATTATGCTAACCGTTAGAGATGTTTCTAATGTTAGGTAACGTACGTTGTAATAGTCCAAAGGAATAGAAAGCTTCGATCACTTACTTCCTAAAGATAGGACCACGAACATGGGACCAGTAATGCAGTGTAACATGTTCAGATATCGGCACCAGTTATGTTTGTAGTTTTCGTAATCAACCACAGGAATAGTGACGGTCAACAAGAAATAGATGGGAGCCTAGAGAATACAAAATACTATGTCATAATCTGGCAATGCCCAAGTCAATTCTTTAGGCTTAAACATTAGAGTTGTTAGGTCTAAAAGCTTCCTTCGCTTCGCATATTTAAACGTTTTAAGATATTGCATAACTGAGAGACGTTATTTCTAAAACATATGTATAATTTTATAATATGAATTGAAAAATTCCATATTACTGGTTATAGGTTTAAGACGCAAGCAATAACTGAATAAATAAACTTACAGATTAACAAGTGGCAGCGTTTATACCCTGTTCAGAATGCTTTTTATTTGACAAGAGCAATATTCTTAGACTACAATAAATCCCTCTCCAAATATCATTCTTAGTATTTGGAGAGGAATTTATTGTAGTCTAAGAATAATATTTGGAGAGGGATTTATTGTAGTCTAAGAATAATATTTGGAGAGGGATTTATTGTAGTTCATTCTTAAACTACAATAAATCCCTCTCCAAATATCATTCTTAGACTACAATAAATCCCTTTCCAAATATTATTCTTACACTACAATAAATCCCTCTCCAAATATTATTCTTAGACTACAATAAATCCCTCTCCAAATATTCTTCTTACACTACAATAAATCCCTCTCCAAATATTATTCTAAAACTACAATAAATCCCTTTTCAAATATTCTTCTTACACTACAATAAATCCCTCTCCAAATATTATTCTTAAACTACAATAAATCCCTCTCCAAATATGAGTTGCTAGCAAACTTGCATGTTGTAGTGATGTTCATATGTAACTTAGAAAGACTTTTGTTTCTTCACTTGAATGCAGACAATGATCCACCAAACGACCAGGTACAAAGAGACTATTCTACGGGTATAGCCGTTCGTTATTTTGAACTGGGGCGAAATGGAAGGCAACTAGTCGGCAGCATCCGTTGCCTGAAACAGTTACTTTTAACCGAATGTTGTAAACTGACTGTCACTCTTATAATACAAACACAACTGAAAATAGCCCGTTTGGTAGCATCATGGCTCAAATATCAAAACCTTGGATCTATAGTCCAATATGTTAACCATTAGGTCATTTTCGTGCCCTCATTTAAATAAAATCAAGAAGATAAATCATGCAGTTTTAACTTTAATCGCTTTAAACTGGTACACGGTGGTATCAAGCAACACACTTGCGATATCTTTAGTACTGGTTTTCCTAACTTAGATATATGCTCTCTGAAAAATTCTCTTTCTAACTAAGCAATGATTTTGCAGTGGGTAAAATGAAAACAGAAAGTTCTAAGCATACGTTTAATCATAGACTGATCTCTAAAACCCTCTTTAGTAAACGCTTGAACTGACTAGCCAACTTCTGAAGTGAGAAGTGAAGATTACCTTGATAACTTCGAAAACTCTGAAGAACCAGCTCCTGTCATTCCACTCCAAGATATTTACTGGACACACATGATAAAAGAACGTTTTCCAAGGTCCAAAGTTAAGTTCAGACGACAAGCTGTCTTCCACAGAAACTACTGTAAGCGAACTACTATTGGAAAATTGACTGACCAATGGAGGAGGTTGTTTCACAGACCCTTGAGGGTGAAATGAAATCGATTAATAACGTGATACTAAAATGAAACCGGTTGATTGAATGTTACTAAAATTAAACACCAATTTGTGATGTTTTATTAAAATCACGCCGGTTGACCATGCGTTTTAAAAATAAACCTGTTGATAACATGTCAATATGAAACCAGATGATAACGAGTTATTAAAATCAAACCGGTTGACCATGCGTTTTAAAAAGAAACCGGTTGATAACATGTCAATATGAAACCAGATGATAACGAGTTATTAAAATCAAACCGGTTGACTTGTTAGTAAACCAAATTTACATTACCTCTGAAATTCGTGCTGTTACATCATTACCTTTATTATAAGCCCTGGAACAGATCTCAGCATTATCCGATTGAGATCTTACACGCCTGTCTTCACCTTTAATCCTAGCAAGAAGAGGTATATCAAGGTCATCGTTAGTTATATAGCTGATCACGTGGTTCAAATGATGACCGATTAGAGACTGGCTTCTGATTCGCTGTTCAGGCACAAATCTGCGATTTGGACTGTTTCGCTGATGAAAATCTGAAACCACCAAACGGTAAATAGTTCTTACATGAACAACCGTAACGTCAAGATTTCAAAATACAGCGTGATCTTTGTAACAGTCAAAAATAAGATGGTAAACATTATTATCATTGCGAAACTACCTCAAACTAACACCTAGCTAACATATGTAAATATGAGTAATACATTAAACAACAGTATTCTGTTATTCTACACAGTAATACATTAAACAGCAATATTATGTTCTTCTACATAGTAATACATTAAACAACAATATTCTGTTATTCTACATAGTAATGCATTAAACAACAGTATTATGTTCATCTACATAGTAATACATTAAACAACAGTATTCTGTTATTCTACATAGTAATACATTAAGCAACAGTATTCTGTTATTCTACATAGTAATACATTAAACAACAGTATTATGTTCTTCTACATAGTAATACATTAAACAACAGTATTATGTTCTTCTACACAGTAATACATTAAACAGCAATATTATGTTCTTCTACATAGTAATACATTAAACAACAGTATTATGTTCATCTACATAGTAATACATTAAACAACAGTATTCTGTTATTCTACATAGTAATACATTAAACAACAGTATTCTGTTATTCTACATAGTAATACATTAAACAACAGTATTATGTTCTTCTACATAGTAATACATTAAAAAACAGTATTATGTTCTTCTACATAGTAATACATTAAACAACAGTATTCTGTTATTCTACATAGTAATACATTAAACAGCAATATTATGTTCATCTACATAGTAATACATTAAACAACAGTATTATGTTCATCTACATAGTAATACATTAAACAACAGTATTATGTTCTTCTACATAGTAATACATTAAACAACAGAATTATGTTATTCTACATAGTAATACATTAAACAACAGTATTATGTTATTCTACATAGTAATACATTAAACAACGGTATTCTGTTATTCTACATAGTAATACATTAAACAACAGTATTATGTTATTCTACATAGTAATACATTAAAAAACAGTATTATGTTCTTCTACATAGTAATACATTAAACAACAGTATTATATACTTCTACACAGTAATACATTAAACAACAGTATTCTGTTATTCTATACAATAATACATTAAACAATACTATCGTATACTTCTACACAGTAATACATTAAACAACAGCATTCTGTTATTCTATACAATAAAACATTAAACAATATTATCGTATACTTCTACACAGTAATACATTAAACAATACTATCGTATACTTCTACACAGTAATACATTAAACAACAGTATTCTGTTATTTTCTGCAGTAAAACATTAAACAATACTATCGTATACTTCTACACAGTAATACATTAAACAACAGTATTCTGTTATTTTCTGCAGTAAAACATTAAACAATACTATCGTATACTTCTACACAGTAATACATTAAACAACAGTATTCTGTTATTTTCTGCAGTAAAATATTAAACAATACTATCGTATACTTCTACACAGTAATACATTAAACAACAGTATTCTGTTATTCTCTACAGTAAAACATTAAACAATACTATCGTATATTTCTACACAGTAATACATTAAACAACAGTATTCTGTTATTCTCTACAGTAAAACATTAAACGATACTATCGTATACTTCTACACAGTAATACATTAAACAACAGTATTCTGTTATTCTATACAATAATACATTAAACAATACTATCGTATACTTCTACAACAGTAATACATTAAACAACAGCATTCTGTTATTCTCTACAGTAAAACATTAAACAACAGTATTCTGTTATTCTATACAATAAAACATTAAACAATATTATCGTATACTTCTACACAGTAATACATTAAACAACGGTACTGTGTTCTTCTAAACATTGAAAGATCTTTGTAAAAGAAAAGTTAATAATAATAATAGTGATTCATGGACGGTATTTTTAAACAAATCCCTAAAAAGTTCGCTTTTTCTATATATAAAATCTAATATTCACTTTGACACACTTTTAATTTCAGTATACCATTTAGAGCACGATTAGTTTCTTATACTCGGGCTTTTATTGGAAATACACTTACTTTTCAAAGCAATTTCTTGTCCACTGGGATCGCAAATATTGTTCTTGTTCTTTTCACCTTTAACAGACGTCACTGACATATCGCGTTGCAAAACTGAAACTGAAAACACAAAGTTTTGAAGTATATCTATAAAACAGTATTATTGTTAAGTGAAGGGTTTTTTAAAAATATCTAAAGTCCGTGCGGTCTACAGAGATACTATCATTATCATCACCGTTTTAATGATTCACTGAAACATAATTTCTTGCTAAATAATTTATATATATCCATATTTTTCTTCAGCAAATAATAATAATTTAATAAGTTGTGTGTTCCAACAGAGTAACTTAAATTTAGGTTATAATTGTACTAGTTTTGATTGTTGGAATTTATTTCATTCTAATTATATTTGCCCCCAAACGTTATGTAATGGTATTTTGTACTTTATTAGTTTAAAAGCGTTATTTATAATAAATGGCACAAATTGTAAAGTTAAAACGGTGATGATGATATTAGGTCGTCAAGAAATTAATGTCGCGTGTTGGAACACTTTCATTAACCACCCCCCAAAAACGTACACCACGTATAATAGTTAAACGACCCGCCTAAACATCACGTTAGTGAAGCCTATATAATGTGCAAAGTTTAGCATACTCTAATCCCTTATAGTGATGGTACACGACGAGACACACATTTGGCATGTAATGCTGTTTCAATAGAAGAAGGGAAACAACGCTTCTGTAGCCACAAAGAATATAAAAGAAGTTTATGGAAATGTTTTGAACGTTCGTAAGTGT